TATACCTAAATTCATATTTAAATTAACAACGATAAGTGTCAAGGCAATTATTTAATAGTAAAATAAATTAAAAGACGACCCCCGTAGGATCGATAGGAACAAACGTTCTCACATAAAAATAAATGGTCAAGCTTTACCAACTTGACTTAATCAGCCTACCAGTCCTCCAAAATTTAAAAATTGATTTTATTAATTAAAATTAAATTCAACCTCGCCTTTCGCTCGGGATGTAACAGGTGATTAACCGCGTAGCGCACGATTTGGTGTCTAAAATTTTAAAAATATTTTTTTTCGAAATGACAAATATCAATACATATTTTTAAACTTTTAAAGATAAAGTGTCAAGAAATAAATTCATTTTTTTTAAATTAAAAAAAAACTTCTTTGCTTTTTGAATTCTATAAAATAGTTGAAATTTGATTTAAAATGTTTATGGAAATTTTTGGGGTAATTCACAAAAATATATATATCGCGAACGACAATTAAAAATTTTATTTCGGTAATTTACGGAAATTTTCGAGGTAATTTATGGAAATTTATGCGGTAATTTATAGAAATTTTGTCTAAAATTCATAAAAATATGAAAAGCATAAATCACAATTAAAATTTTTAATTTTGGTAATTTACAAAAATATATATAGCGGGAACGACAATTAAAAATTTTATTTCGGTAATTTATGGAAATTTATGCGGTAATTTCTGGAAATTTTTTTGGTAAGCTATAGTAAACTTACAAGAGCTGTGATAGTTTATAATAAATATTTTTTATTTCGTTTGTTTCATTGTAGGGGAGTGTAGTCAGGGTTGGACATAGTTTTGACTTTTCTCTATAACTTTCCCTGTAGGCCGAATTTTGAGATTTCTCGCATTTGGTTCGAAAGATCTACTAAAATGTAATGTTTTTGCTGAACATTGTAAAACTATTTGACCAAGAGTTTCGGAGTTATAGTCAATTAAAAAAAAGAAAAAATAGTATAGTCAGGGTTGAGCCACTGTAGAAAATTAATGAAATATGCAGATAAACGATTAATAATGACCTTCAAATAATAGCATAATACGTCTTTATTGTTCGCACACTTCACTACAACGTATGTGAAAAGTTTGCTGACATTGCTAACAAATACTTACATACAAAGACAGATGGATCTAGTGTGATGAAACAAAATAAACGCGATGGCTCAACCCTGACCACTGTCCAACCCTGACTAATCTCCCCTAGTATTAAACTTGTACTAGTGACGGTGGAAATTCTGTGGCGGGTGGAGACGCTGGGGTCGGTGGAATTAATTATTAATTAATTATTAATTTAACACCCGTTTATCCAAAATAGTTCATATAGGGCTCGTTGGATGCGGATTTTGATAAGCATTTTAATGGTGTTTTTAAAATTACTCTAATTTTATTTGTTAGTAAAATATTTCATTTTTTATTAACTTTTGTTAGTTAATTAATTAATATCTCGAAAACAAAAAATAATGCCATCTCAAAAATTTAACCATCGATTTATTATGACTTAAACAATATTCATGATTTTTTTCGCGCTTCTAAATGAGGGAGAACATGTTTAAAAGTTAGAAACAAATTTTATTTTTTAAACAAATTAGTTACAAATTAATATTTTTTTTTAAATAATTTTTTTCCAAAAGTTTAAGATCTTTCGCGTAAAAAACATTGACAACATTTTTTTCTATTTTTAACAGGAAAAATGTTATAAGTAAATCAAAAAAATATTGCTGAAATTTGTTATTGTAAATATCTTGAAAAATATTAAAAAATTCAAATTCAAAATTTGTACATTTATTTAGGACTACTATCACTACAATTTACTGAATTTTGAGAAAAATCCGAGACATGACCCCGTATTCTCATATGAAATACCTCATATAGACTAAAATAATATAACTACACTTTATTTAACCTTTATTATTTAATTATATTCTATTTTTTTTTAAATATTGAAGGGTCGGTGGATGCCGGTGGAGACGATTTTGTGATGCCCTGTACAAATTTGAATCTTGAAATGTGTAAAGAAAGGATAAATCAATTAGAATATTCATTACTTTCTTCATGGATCAACTTCAGGAATGTAACTTTTGCTGTTACTGAAGTACAACTATGTTAACATTTGACTTTTATTTAAATAATAATTCATAATTCATGTTTAACACTGCAAAAAGAAGTATCTTATTTTAAGATGTTTTGGTCACCTTTTTAAGATGTTTTTTATACTTTACTTCTAAGATATCTAAAACAACTTAAAATGCATTATTTTCTTAAGATATAAGATGGATAGGAAGATACTTTTTGGTAACTTGCTTCCAATGTATCTTATAATAAGATACATCTTTTTGCAGTGAAGAGGCGCATGAATTTTCTCCAAATTTCAAATGGCCTAAAACTTAATTGACCTAAATTCAATTGGCCTAAAAGTCGTATGAACTAATTATTACTCGACCTAATCTGTATATGACCTAATTATCATTTGTCCTAATCTCCATTCAATCTAATCTTAATTTGCACTAATCTTCATTTGTCCTACTTCTCATTTGGCATAATCTTAATTTAATCTAATTCTTATTTAATATAATATTTATCTGCCCTAAATTTCACTTGGCCTAAATTTTCTGTAATCTAATTCTTTTTTAGTCTCATTTTTATTTGACCTAATTATTACTTGGCCTAAACACCATTTCCCATAATTATCATTTGAGATAATTTGTTTCTGGTCTAATTATTATTTGGACTAAACGCCGCTTAAACTAATTTTTATTTGATCTAATCTTTATAAGTAGTATAGCTAGGCGGGTTCTGAGCCACCTACCGATCTCAGTCGGTAAGGAAGATTTCGCGGGTTTGAGTCCGTGCTAATTTACCATCAGTTGGGTGGTCCCTGTTTTACCGACAGGGTTTATAGGTAATATTGTTGAAGGTTCTTGAAGGTCATCGAAATTCATAGAAGGTCATCGAATGTTCTCGAAGGTCATAGAAGGTCATCGTAATTTATGGAAATTCACAGAAGGTCATAGAAATTCAGAGAAGGTCATCGAATGTCATAGAAGGTCATAGAAGGTCATCGGTGGTCCCTGTTTCACTGATAGAGTCCATAGGTAATGTTGAAGGTCATCGAAGGTCTTGAAATTCATAAAAGGTAATTGAAGGTCATCGAAGATTATCGAAGGTTGTAGAAGGTCATAGAAGGTCATTGAAAGCTAAGGAATGTTTTTCAGAAAATGGAGAATTTTTTTTTTTTAAATTGAAATATAGTTTATAAAAAGGTAAAACTATATTTTACCTTAAAATTTTTAAATTTACATTGGAATAAAATTTTAAAAAACATTAAAAAATAATTAATGTATTTATTGAATTTAAAATAAATGTTGTTAAGAAGATATTATTAATAATAATATTAAAAAAGCTTATTATATTCTGTATGTCAGAATATACATTTATTGTGTGCCTAAAGTTTTGAACTTTCAAATAAATGAATAATTTATTCCTTAGTTTTTTAACTTGAAATTTTATTATAAAATATTGCTTTCTGCACGGAGGAAATTCGCGGAATTAAAAATGGAAATCCAACAAAATGGGGAAAGGAATTATGTCAGTCTCTAAAAAATCTGGGAGATGGATCAATTGTAGAAAAAATCTGGGAGAAGAGACCTGTAGAAGTTATTGAGAATAGATTAAAGGAACTGTATAAAATTAAAGAAGAACAGGATATACAAAGGGATTGGATCAGAGTAGATCTATCAAGCTTCTGTAGCTACTATAAAAATATCAAAAGTGAACTTGGCATGGAGTCTTACTGGCTTAGAAAGGATTTGAAGGGTTACCTGAAGGAATCTTGGGCAAGATGGAGATGCGGTAACGCAGTCAGAGAGGGAAAAAAGGGCTTCAAAAACAAAAACTGCAGAGCTTGTAATCAGGTGGAGGAAAAACTGCAACATGTGATCAACTGCCGGAAAGTGGATCAGAAACTTAGTTCGGAAGCGAAAGAATGGTGGCAAGCTTGGAGAAGTGAAAGCAACGAAGATGAATGGAGAAATAGAATTTTACAAGTTTTTCAATCAAATACGAACAGAATTTTATTTAAAAGGTTTTATGAAGTGGAGAAAATACTAAAAGACTGTGATGCAAGTCGTGTGTGAGAATTTTAGTATGTAGGCAACTTTTTGATGTAAAACATTAATACATGTAGCATTAAGGAAATAAATTATCTATCTATCTGCTTTCTGCACGGAGAGAAATATCATACTATATGTACATGGAGGACTGTTATTGTTTTCGCGAAATACTATTTGATGTAAGAATCGTTTATCACGCAAGATATTTTTTCATGAAATCATGTGTTAATAGCACGAGTTAACCTGATGTGAAATTAAAAAGACATATGTACTATAAACGCTCAAGAAACATGAAAAAATCGCTTCCCTTTTCTCTATATAAAGTTGGCTTGAAATCCATGCGCTTTTTGGATGGATTTCTTGCAAATGGGACTGGACCCGTGAACCGGGAGTGACGCTTGCGCAGTTCATATGTATCTCCGTTGCAAGAAATCCATCCAAAAAGCGCATGGATTTCAAGCGAATTTCGTATAGTGTGGTGGGGAGCATTTACGGCATGAACTTGAAGCAAAGATAGCATATGTTCTCAACTTTTCTTGCATAGATATCTACGATACTGTAAACGCATGAATTTGCTGTAACAAACGCACGTAACAGCTGATGCGATTAACGAGTGATACAGCTCATGCGTTATTCGCTTGATATTTCTCTCCGTGTGTAATTAAAAAAATAAATTCATAATTTATTTAATGTTTAATGTATTATATTTTTTATTGCGCTAGTAATTTTTAAAAAATATACATACAAAAAAAAATGATTTCATTCAAGAAGTTTCGAAAACTAGATACTTCTTTAAAAGAATCAGAAGTTTCGAAATCGAGATACTTTCATCGAAAGTATAATCGAAATATCGATCGATCTGTAGAAGATTCTACAAGGCGCATGTGCGAATATATATAAGCGCACCGGCCGCAACAATGTCAAAAAACGTCCGTCAGTCAGTCGTGTGTGGTCTCCTGTCAAGTTAAAAGAAAGTTGTCAGTCAGTCAGCTAGTCGTGAGTCGTCGTGTATTTAGTGTCCAGATTAAAAAAAAAAGTGTGAAGAGAAACAATAAAAAAAAATTATGAAAGGAAGGAAAATAGAAAGAGAAAAGGAAAGGAGGAAAGAAGAGAAAGGAAAGAAAAAAGAGAGTGGAAAGATATTAAAAAAGTAAGTAAAAAGTGAAAATATGAAGAAAAAAAAATGTGTGACGTGAAGAAAGTGTCCTTAGAAGTAAAAAAAAATTATAGGTTATATTTTGTAATTTTAAAAATGAAAATACACAAAGAGGATAAAATTTTAATGCAAACTTTTTCTTTAATGAAAATTTTATTAAAAATATTTAAGTCTTTTCTATATTCCAATAATAATAAATAATCAATAAAAAGTAATTTTTTTGATGCTGCAAAAACGAAAAGAAATTTTTAATAAATGTAAAACTGTCATAAATATAACCTATTGTAGCGAGATTAATGTATGTGAGTGTTAGAATGTATGTGTGAAGGTTTGAATGAGTATGCTTAGTATAAGTGGGGATTCAATTAAGGGGGGAAAAGAAATTTTGTGAATTTTGTTAATTCAAGTGGCAGTATAAAATTGAAAAGATTATAGTAAAGACCGTTATAAGTGTTTAGATATATATGTGATATTGATAATTATTTGAGGACAGCGATTAGCACCTTATATGTATACAACCACGATATTAGCGTGGTTTTTGTGTTACGCTTTGGATAAAAGGGAGAATTTAATCCCCATGGTTCTCTTATCCAGCGTAAAGTTGGATAGTACTGCAATTGGAATTAAGGATTAAGTGGACGGATAATCGATACTGAATATTTTATCGGTGAACGAAAATTAAATATCTGCTCATCGATTCATCCGTATCGCCTAAGGAAGGATAAACTACAACCATTCCTATTTCCAAAATCGTGGCGCTATTTTTTTCCAGGAGTAAAAAATAGGACCACTAATTTGGCGAGCGATCATCGGCTCGATTTAACTTTGTGGTGAGAAGGAATAATTATAATTTGATTATTTTCTTGAACATTGAAATGCGTAGGTGCGCATAGTTGCTATATATATACTTATTGACGAAATTCGCATATATACTGTTTGAAGCGTTGGGTCTTGTCTTATGTGTGTCTATCAATGTGTGCGTATGTGTATGAATTTGTATAACTTTGTTTAAATTTGATAAATGGAAGGATTGGCAGTCAGATAATTTTATGTTTTATATGTAAATTCTAAATGAAATTTTTATACAAATTGTAAAAACAATTTAGTAAGATTAATTATTATCAAAGTAAATTTATTGGTTGATTAATCACATTTATTTCTTGTATTCATTGTGAATATCATCACATTTGGCGCCCAACGTGGGGCTCGAATTACCTTGAGAATACAAACAATAAGTTGATTGTTTACTTCATGCTAATTAGTTATCATTGGGAAACTTTTAAATTTTATTTATATAAAATATATTTTTGAAAATATTAATTGAAAACTATATTATAAAATTTTATTCACGCATATATTTAATTAAATAAATTTTAGGAAATATTGAAATTACAGTTATTAAATACTAATAGAAATTTTTCATTACAGGAATTTTAATTTTTGAAATATTTTATTGTTTATAAATTTGTTGATTTGATTAACATATTTGCCGTGGGCGACAGCTTCTTTTTCCCTTTTATAAAAAATGGCTAGACCAAACTCATGGTCAACACCGTATAATGCACGATCTCGCGGAACTTTCGGAATGGATGGTACTCGTGGTGTGCATTATCGTGATAATAGCGATTTGGGATCAAATCACGAAAATTATTATAATAATAGAAATCGCGTAGAACCAGAGAGACAATTTGCACCTTCTGGATTTTCTATTTATCGGGATACGTCAAATAGAGAGAAAAGGCAATATAATAGGGACAATAATCATCATGACGAATTGTATCAAAGAATCGAATATTTAGAAAATGAAATAGAAACACTAAGAACGGAATTAAGAGGGTTGAAAGGGCCGAATTTTGGAGAATGGTCCAGACCACAGATGATAGATGTAGCTTTACCGGTTTTTGGGGGTGATTTGTCGGAGGATCCTATAGAATATCTTCAAGAATTAGAACAATATCTGATGTTTCGTCGTGTACCAAGTGAATATCAGTCGAAAACTATTCAGAATTCCCTAAGTGGAAATGCGCGAATTTGGTTTGATGCAGTACGACATGATATAGTTGATTTTCCTCATTTTAGAGATATTTTCCGACAAGAATTCCTTTCTGTCGATACACAAGAAAGAAAGCGTGATCGTTGGAGAAATCGACGATATGATTCGTCACGATGTAATTTGGTTAATTATTATTATAGTCAGGTTAGTGAGGCAGTTCATTTGCAACCTCCAATGACGATGAACGAAAAGAATCGAATAATTATTAATCAGTTGCCTCGAGAGGTACAAATAGCTATGGCGGGGGCATCATTACAGGATCAGCGTGCGGTGGTTCATATTCTTTCGCGAATAGATGAAACAGGCGTGACAGACAATCGTAGTCAGAGGTGGGGAAATTTTAATTCTATGAGGGGAAATGCGGATCAGAGAAGTAATAACGGAATAGAGAAAAGGGAGGACAACACACGAAGCACCATAGAAATAGATAGAGAGAGGGAAGGTTCTCGTCCGGGGCAGAGTCGATGGTCGGGGAATAAAGGCTCGAGTAGTTACGGTAATAGAGAGGCGTATCGCAGTGATCACAGAGGAGGGAGTAATACGGTGGGAGAAAGTCGAAATGATTCGTCATATAGAACTGCCGAAAATAGAAATATGAATTCGTTTCGAAGACCAGGTAACTTCCGACACGCGGTCAATGCGATGAATATTCAAGAGGGGGATATCTTAAGATCCTCTAATTATAATGACAATGGTGGGGAGCATAATTACGATAACGATAATACGAATGGACATGGTGCGTCGGATAATAGACTGCAAACTATTTCGGAAAACGCGGAGGGTGAACAAATCGAAAGCCAACAGACGGAAAACTATTAACCAACTCGCACTTATTGGGTCCGGTGGCGAGGGGGGAAATTGAGATAGCATTTCAGGACCTAGCATATGATGTTATAGGAGATTGCTCAAGGGAAATACCAAAAATGTCAATTAAACATTGTCCGCGAATTGTTGTTCATGTGGCGGGAGAAAAATGCGTTGCACTCTTGGACACAGGTAGTCAAGTGACTTGTATTTCTGCTGAAAAATTTGAAAATATTGATGTAAATAAAGTAAAGGTTTTACCGCTTAGCAATATTACTGTAGTAGGAGCGTTCGGAAAAAAATCTAAGAGAGTTAATAAACAAATGCAAGCAAATATGACAGTTGGCGAGGGAGAGTGGTTGGTAAGATTTTTGGTGATTTCTGATTTATCGTATGACGTTATTTTGGGCAATGATTTGATGGATTCTCTAAAAGTAATTTTGAATTATAAAAAGAAAAATATTAAATTTGGTGATAGTTTAGTTTCGGGACCGGAGATTTCATTTAATAATAAATTACCGAGTATTGGAAAGGAACTAAGTAAAATAACAGTACGTCCGGGTGTGTTTTTAACAGAAGAAAATAAAGGACAAGATATAAATAAAGACGTTATATTAAGGGAATCTTTAATGATTAATGATATAGAACTAAACAATTTTAATGAGGTCCCAATTGATTATGAAGTTGAATGTGAGAGTAAGGCGGAAATATTTATTCGTGAAACAGTTAAGTTAGATAACAATCAGTTACAAAAATTAATTGAATTAGTAAAGCGATATTCTGAAGTGTTTTCTGATGAACCGGGATGTTTAATTGGGTACGAACATCAATTAAAAATTCTTTCGCAAAACCCTATAATAAGAATGTCATACTCAATTCCTATTGCTTATCAAAATCCGGTACGAGTCGCATTACAAAAATATCTCGATGCAAAAGTTATTGAACCATCTGAAAGTAGACATTGTAATCCGATACGAGTTGTTATGAAAAAGGACGGTACCGCTAGATTGTGTCTTGACGCAAGGCGTTTAAATAAAGAGATAGAAAGCGATCAAGAGGGTCCACCAGCTATAGATGATGTGATACAGAAATATCACGGTAGTGAAGTATTTTCTACATTTGATCTTACAAGTTCTTATCATCATATTGTACTGGCAAAAGAATCGAGACCTTATACTGCGTTTGTAACAGAGGGAAAATGTTATCAATTCACGCGTGTCCCAATGGGGTTAAAACCGCAGGATCTATTTTTATGCGAGTGATTCGTTTAGTGTTCGGTCCAGAATTTGAAGAATTTTTAACCGCGTACGTGGATGATTTCTTAATAAATTCTAAAAATTTTAATGATCACTTAATGCATTTGGAAAAACTTTTCAAAAAATGTCTTGAAGTTGGTTTAAGAATGCATTTAAATAAGAGCAATTTTTGTCAAAAAGAGGTATCTTATTTAGGATTCGTGTTGTCGGCAAAAGGGATAAACCGAATCCTGAAAAGGTAGCAGTGATAAAAAATATGCCGGAACCACGATCGCTTGATGAATTGAGAAGTGCCCTCGGTGTTATGGGTTATTATAGGCGATTTGTCGCAAAATATGCATATTTTATGGACCCCTTTAGAGATATTTTGACAATAAAAAATAAGTTTGTTTTGACATCTAAACACGCTCAAGCATTTAAAGAGATAAAGAATCAGTTTATTGACGCAGTTGTCCTGAATCATTATATCGCGGATAAACCATTTCGGTTACAAACGGATGCGAGTAAGGCAGGAATAAGTGGGGTACTATATCAGATCGATGGTGGGGGTGACGTTCGAATTGTAGCTCTCATAAGTTGAACTTTAACCGGGTATGAACAATCGTATGGCTCTACCGAGTTGGAATTGTTAGCTATTGTTTACGCGCTATTAAAATTACGAACTTTTTTGTTAGGGCAAAAATTTTTTATAATTACTGACCATCAGGCCCTCACGTTCATGGACAATTTAGTGGCGGACTATTTTAGCCGATACTTTCCTGAGAAGAACGACGAACATGAGTCAATTAATACATTGCCTATTGATAATGGAGGTGCCCTTAAGATTTGCGCAATAAATGAATTAGATCTTCCGGAATTAAGACGAATTGGAAATGAACAAGACCGCGATTTAAATCTAGTGGAATTGAAGGAACATAGTCGAGAACCTTATTGCGTTAAGAATCAAGTATTGTTTCATAAAGTTTATCATGAGGATCGGTTTTGCTTGGTGATTCCTGAACATTTGCGTGCGGATTTAGTAAGAATAGTCCATGAAAGATCGGGTCACATGGGTAATTATAAAACTTTTAAAGAAATGGCTAAGACCTATTTCTGGCGTGGAATGCAACGAGATATAAAACGTTACGTAACGGGGTGTGATCTTTGTCAAAGGGTAAAACCCCTGACGTACTCAACGGAAGGTGCATTTTTGCATGTGAAATCAGAAAAACCGGGAGAAATCGTGGCAATGGACTTCTTCGGAGAATTACCCATGTCTACTGGTGGAGTGAAATACATTTTGGTCATCTTGGATGTCTTTTCAAAGTTAGTCAAACTTTACCCGTTAAAAAAGGAAAATACCCAAAGTGTTATTCTTAAAATGGAAAAGTACATTCAGGATGTAAATAAAGCAAAACGAGTGTTAACCGACCACGGAACACAATTCACGTCGCCGGTATGGACGAATTTTTTAAAGGAAAATAATATTGAATCAGTTTTTTGTTCTATACGCCACCCTCAATCGGATCCTGCAGAGCGCACAATGCGTGAACTAGGGCGATTATTTCGTACGATATGTTCGGAACGACATTCGGTATGGGCTAGACACACGAAAAGAATCGAAGAATGGCTTAATCTTGCGGTGAATTGCGTCACAGGGTATAGCCCAATAGAATTGCATTTTGGGGTAAGAACGCGTGATAAGATCGAGACGATAGTGGAATTTCCGACAGGTGTTGATGAATCTCATGAGGTAATGGTCCGAATAGTTAATGAACGAATGAATATGGGGAGAAAGCGCAGTGAACAGTATCAAAGATCCATTTCGAGAGTTAATATAGAAATTGGAGATAAAGTATTGTTAAGAATTCCGCGATTGTCGTCCAAGGTGAATAGACAAATTGACAAATTTTTTCATATATTTTACGGACCATATTTGATTAATCGAAAACTTAACGAAAATTCATTTGAATTGGCTGAAGTTAACGATCCTCAAAGAATAAAGGGTAAATTTAATAAGAAATCGTTGCGACCTTATAAAACAATTTAAAATACATATTAATTAATGACATGAGTATTGTTGCTTAAGATATATATATAAAATTATAGAATGATGACAAAAATAAATATTATTTAATGTATATATGTATTTATAAGCTCAAAAAATATATAATTTTTGACGATCGATGTATGATATCAACGAAATGTAAATGAATATAAAATTTAATCTCTAAATTCAACTTTGTTAAACGTGTTGTGATTAATTGGTTTTATTTAAAATTAAATGTTAAAATAAAACCAAAGGGAGGATATGTAGCGAGATTAATGTATGTGAGTGTTAGAATGTATGTGTGAAGGTATGAATGAGTATGCTTAGTATAAGTGGGAATTCAATTAATGGGGGAAAAGAAATTTTGTGAATTTTGTTAATTCAAGTGGCAGTATAAAATTGAAAAGATTATAGTGAAGACCGTTATAAGTGTTTAGATATATATGTGATATTGATAATTATTTGAGGACAGCGATTAGCACCTTATATGTATACAACCACGATATTAGCGTGGTTTTTTTGTTACGCTTTGGATAAAAGGGAGAATTTAATCCCCATGGTTCTCTTATCCAGTATAAAGTTGGATAGTACTGCAATTGGAATTAAGGATTAAGTGGACGGATAATCGATACTGAATATTTTATCGGTGAACGAAAATTAAATATCTGCTCATCGATTCATCCGTATCGCCTAAGGAAGGATAAACTACAACCATTCCTATTTCCAAAATCGTGGCGCTATTTTATTCCAGGAGTAAAAAATAGGACCACGAATTTGGCGAGCGATCATCGGTTCGATTTAACTTTGTGGTGAGAAGGAATAATTATAATTTGATTATTTTCTTGATCATTGAAATGCGTAGGTGCGCATAGTTGCTATATATATACTTATTGACGAAATTCGCATATATACTGTTTGAAGCGTTGGGTCTTGTCTTATGTGTGTCTATCAATGTGTGCGTATGTGTATGAATTTGTATAACTTTGTTTAAATTTGGTAAATGGAAGGATTGGCAGTCAGATAATTTTATGTTTTATATGTAAATTCTAAATGAAATTTTTATACAAATTGTAAAAACAATTTAGTAAGATTAATTATTATTAAAGTAAATTTATTGGTTGATTAATCACATTTATTTCTTGTATTCATTGTGAATATCATCACACTATATATATTTTTTTTACTTCTAAGGACACTTTCTTCGCGACGCGACACATATGTATATATTAAAAATTAGTGTTTTTTTGTGCAGGAGGAATAAACAATGTAGCTGTCAATGTTGTGGCCGGTGCGCGGATCGTCGAATTGTAATTAGTTTACCCCTGGAGGCCTTCTTCGAGTGGCAGTCGAAGGTATGTTAAAAAAAATATTTAATCTTATTTATAAAAATAAAGTGAAATTAAAAAAAAAAGAAGTAATGTATATTAATATAATGTGAAAAAAACGAGTAAAAATAAAAAACAAATAAAATAAAAGTGTAATAAAATAAAGTAAAATAAAGAATAATAAAATAATGTGAAATAGTATAAAGTTAAATAAAATAATGTAAAATAAAATCAAGTATATAAAAAAAAGTAAAGGAAAATATCATGAAGTTAAATAAAAAAAAAAGAGTAAAAGTAAAATATCAAAATAAAATAAAAATAACAAGGTAAAATAAAATAATGAAGTAAAATAAAGTAAAAAAATAAAATATATATGTAATATAAAATAAAATCATTTAAAATAAAATTAATCAAAATAAAATTTTAGTAATATAAAATCAAGTATATAAAAAAAGAAGTAAAAGGAAAATATCATGAAGTTAAATTAAAAAAAGAGTAAAAGTAAAATATCAAAATAAAATAAAAATAACAAGGTAAAATAAAATAATGAAGTAAAATAAAGTAAAAAAAAAATAAAATATATATATGTAATATAAAATAAAATCATTTAAAATAAAATTAATCAAAATAAAATTTTTGTAAAATAAAATCAAGTAAAACAAAGAAAAAAAAGGTTTAGTTCAAAAATAAAATAATTTTTTATTAATTTTGTTTTATAGGTTCAGACGAATCCTACACTGCCACAACATATGATAAATAGAGTCTCATCTTCCTCATCATCGTCATCATCGTCAACTTCCTCTTCTTCTACATCATCGCATCTTCACCAGAGGAAAAAAAAAGATGAGGTCCCACATACACTTCCTCCTGAGGCCTCCTCAGAGATGCCACCATTAGCACCCCCTCGCTCTTCTTCAATTGTTATGCCACCACCATCACTGCTTCCTCGTACTACGGCACTACCACCACGTACTACGGCACTACCACCACGTACTTCCGCACTGCCACCACGAACTGCCGCACTGCCTTCTCGTACATCGTCAGGAAAACCGCCAATTCGTCGCTTATTTTCCGGACAGCCACCGGTTTCAAAACCATCATCACAATCATCATTGTATTCATCATCATCATCAGCATCATCATTACCATCATCGTCGAATATTAAAAAAACTTCACCTGTATCTCTAAATCGGAAGATGGGACAAACAGTGGAATCACTCCCATCTTCCGATTTAGTAAATGTACCACCTGATGAATTACAATCTATTTTAAAAGATTTATTAGAATATAATAATAATGATGATGATGAATGCAAGGAAAATTGTTCAAAACGAAAACAGTTGCCCAAAGATCAAGACGTAATTAAAAAAAACAAAAGTTTTGGGAAATAATAATTAAAACACACACATAAAATAAAAACAAACAAAAAAATGTAAAAAAAAAATTTTTATAAAATAAAAAATTATTTTCTATAGTACTTTTTTTTTTAAATTCATTTTAAAGAAAACCAAATTTCAAAGAACAAAAAGAAATACAAAAGAAATATATAATAAACTTATATATATATATATATATATATATATGTATATATTAAATTTAGATGAATAAAAAATAAATACACATGTTTTTGGGTTAAAAAAAAATTGTAAATTTAATAAATTAGATTGAATCATGTTTCTTGGGATTTTTAAAGTCGCTAAAGTCGATTTTTGAGGTTAGAATTTAAAATGGATAAAAAAAGATAAATTCGCTTGAATCTTGTTTCTTGGGGTTTTTGAGGTCGCTTATTACGATTTTGAGGTTAGAATTAAATAATTAAAACTGGCGGATCCAATATGGCGGATAAAAAAAATTAATAAATTAGATTGAATCATGTTTCTTGGGATTTTTAAAGTCGCTAAAGTCGATTTTTGAGGTTAGAATTCAAAATGGATAAAAAAAGATAAATTCACATGAATTTTGTTTCTTGGTGTTTTTGAGGTCGCTTATTACGATTTTGAGGTTAGAATTAAATAATTAAAAATGGCGGATAAAAAAAAATTAATAAATTCGATTAAATCTTGCTTCTTGGGGTTTTTGACGTCGCTTATTACGATTTTGAGGTTAGAAATCAAAATAGCGGAGAAAAAAATTATTGAATTCGCCTGAATCTTGTTTCTTGGGGGTTTTGAGGGCGCTAAACACGATTTTGAGGTCAGAATTCAAAATGGCGGAGAAAAAAATTATTAAATTCGCTTGAATCTTGTTTCTTGGGGATTTTGAGGTCGCTTATTACGATTTTGAGGTTAGAATTAAATAATTAAAAATGGCGGATCCAACATGGCGGATAAAAAAAAATTGATAAAATCGAATAAATCTTGTTTCTTGGGGTTTTTGACGTCGCTTATTACGATTTTGAGGTTAGAAATCAAAATAGCGGAGAAAAAAATTATTGAATTCGCTTAAATCTTGTTTTTTGGGGGTTTTGAGGGCGCTAAACACGATTTTGAGGTTAGAATTGAATAATTAAAAATGGCGGATCCAATATAGCGAAGAAAAAAAAATTGATAAATTCGAATAAATCTTGTTTCTTGTTTTTGAGGGCGCTAAACACGATTTTGAGGTTAGAATTGAATAATTAAAAATGTCGGATCCAATATAGCGAAGAAAAAAAAATTGATAAATTCGAATAAATCTTGTTTCTTGTTTTTGAGGGCGCTAAACACGATTTTGAGGTTAGAATTCAAAATGGCGGAGAAAAAAATTATTAAATTCGCTTGAATCTTGTTTCTTGGGGTTTTTGAGGTCGCTTATTACGATTTTGAGGTTAGAATGAAATAATTAAAAATGGCGGATCCAACATGGCGGATAAAAAAAAATTGATAAAATCGAATAAATCTTGTTTCTTGGGGTTTTTGAGAGCGCTAAACACGATTTTGAGGTAAGAATTTAAAAATTCAAAATGGCGCATTCACAATGACGGAGAAAAATATTAATAAATTCGCTTGTATCTTGTTTCTTGTGGTTTTTGAGGTCGCTTATTACGATTTTGAGGTTAGGATTCAAAATGGTGGAGAAAAAATTAATAAATTCGCTTGAATCTGGTTTCTTGTGGTTTTTGAGGTCACTAATTTTTACTTTGAGTATATAAATAGAGTTATAAGTAATAAATAAAATAACAATTATGTAATTATAATTTGTTTTTCTGTATTGAAATATATTTCAGAAATATACATCTTTTCATTTTTTAATGAGTTTTTAATTTAAAAACATTGTAGGGTCCACCAAAATAGTACATGTAAAGGTTTTTTAATTTAGCTGATTCAACTAAGTCCTCAAACGTGTTATCAGGATCTTCCTCGAAGGCTTTTGCAATTCGTCCAAGCAGAAACACTTCAAACTTTTTTAAAAAAACTTGTTATTTTTTTCTCTTGAATAATGTGTCACAGCACTTGTCAACTTTAAGACTGAAAGTAACCTTGTCGTATCCTGTATTTATAGAAAGAGCTATCCCCACTCCAAAAGTTCCACAGACTACATTGTTAAAATTTTCTAGAATTTTCTATAATATGTATGTGAAATAACAAGTAACTCAGGTTAAAGCAAGTTGAAACAATTCAAAGCATGTTTTAGAATGTAATGGTTGGGATAATTAACAAAAAGATATTTATTATTATATTTTCTTCTGTTTTCTTGAACAATCTTAATTTAAAAATTTACATTTTTTTTTTTTAAAACATAGAATCACAACTTGTATAATAATCTCTTAACGTAGTCAGGTTGGTGTCCACAGTATCATGTCCAGAGGAAGAGGAGTCTCGAACATCATCATCATCATCATCGTCTAGAGTGCCTATAATGCTCTGAGTACTTGATGACGTAGTAGTAGTAGCAGTAGGATTCAGGAACCAAGTTTTTAGAGCCATAACGTTGCGAACTGCACAGTTGTGGTACCAGGTTTGGCAATGGTGATGACACAGTGGAGGAATGGCACTATGTAGTTTCTTCAAAGCAGGGCAGCCTAATTCTTCAACGTTGCACACGTTAGTTATAAACACCTCCAACCATTTATTCTTTTCAAGACCTTTCACGTAAATTCTACGAGCTCCTCTTAGGATGTCTTGTAATAAAAGTCTCACTTCTTCATAGGGTATTTCACCTGCAGACCAGTCTATCCCATGGTAATTACGTGTTAACCACCAATTTTCACTTTTGTAACGTGCAGGTACAGACTTCCAGGAACATGGTGGTTCAAATAAGTACACCAGAGGTTGAGCGTCTTTCTGGAGTGGCATTATTGCCAGTTCTTTGAAAACAAACTCGTTGAATGGCTTTTTAAAGCCTTGAACATCAACAATGAACTCCATGTTGATATTATACTGAATGTTTGGTGAGTATGTCTCTGCTTTTATACCTTCTTCCCCCACCACAACCAATATTTACCCCAACCACTTCCACCTATTGCAGGTTTAAACAAGTTTTTTAACTTCTCCACTAATTGGTTTGTATTGAATGATACGATCATGTATAATGAGACAGTAGGCTGCAGTTTCAGCAGGAAAATTTTTTCTTGACTCAAACTCCAAACGTACATCTACTGAAGCTTATTTAAGGAATTCATTTTGCTTTGAACAATCGATGACTATTAGTGGGACAGCATCCTTGAAATCAATTTTCTTTAATAAAGGTTCCGGCTCTCTGTCATAATAAATGCGTTGAAAGTTTGCATACATCTCATACAACAATGCAAATTGGTTGTGTTCAATATCCAAATTTAAATTTCCATAGGGATAGTATTGAGAATTTAGAAATAATTTAACATTTGTAATGTCACAGTGGTCAAAGCGATTAGCATACTTTTTTAGTTTATCTTTTCTACTTGTTTGAAAACCTAGCAAAACGTAACGCGGTTTTTCAAGTTGCGTAGACGTTTTCACTGTCCATACATGTTTTGAGGTGGTGGGGAGTAAAGGATATTCATACAAATCCCAGGCTCGAAAACTCATTGTAATGAATGAATCTTTCTCAATTGATTGCAGTAAACGTATTTTTTGACGATCAGCAGCCATTACATATGGCATCATCCACTCAATCTTGTAAAGTGTTATCTTGAATTGTTCAATGTCTTGTCCTTGAATAACTGCATTGATGTCACTACGTGCACGCGTCATGATAAGTTCATGTTTTGCGTTTACAATTACTTTTTGATAATCTTCAGCAAAACCCAAGATCAAACTTAGCGGTATTGTGACATCAAAATATCCATCATTATTGGCAAGTGTTGAATCGATCCAGCCTGCATTCTCCAAGAGATTACGTCACCCGGGTGACTCTCCCCATCTGACAGTAGGTAAAATGTTGAACAGAAATTTTAGTACCAAATAGGAGCGCTGATTACCTTTCGGCCCGACTTTTGTCTATTCTGCTGCATTTGAATGTTATTGTTGTTATTTTAGAATTGTTTTGTAATTTATTATTGTTGAATTAATTAATTAATACGTTTAACACAATTTTTTAATAAATTTTCTTTTAATATTTATTTATTTATAAAGAATATTATTTGTTAAAATTGTTTAACGTATAATGGTGAAGTGTGTGGCAGTGGGTTGTGTGTCAGGTTATAAAAGGAAAAAAAATCCTGTCGAAAAAGTCTTTTTCTATTACGTACCTAAGGACGAAAAAACAATTAAAAAGTGGCAAATTGCAATTTTACGTGACGATATCACTTTGAAAGCAGGAGACGCAGTATGCGAAAAACATTTTCGCAAGACTGATTTTATTTTTGAAAGACCGATAACAAGTTCTGACGGAACTGTCATAGGCAAGGTACGTTATTTATTATATTTATAATTATCGATATTATTTAAATAATTTACAAACTTTGTACGTTTATTTTTAATAATTAATTACCAAAAAAAATTTCGAAAAAGGGTAATAATTAATTATGTAAACAGGTACATTGTTTTAAATTTTATAATTTTACATAAAATTTTTTCTTTACATTAAAAATATATTTCATTAGTACATCATTCTATACTTTAAAATTAATTTTAAAAATAAATTTGTTATTAAAATAAATTTTTTTAAAATTTATGTTTTCACTATATACATATTTTCGATTCCTAAGCAATTATATTTTAAAAATTTTGTAGACTGTGCTGAAAAAACCAGAATTAAAGAAAGATGTTTTACCAAGTTTGAACTTAGGACGAAAGGAAAAACCTGAAGCGAAACCAAGGTCATTATTTCTGAAACGTACTCGAGATAGGAATATTGTTGATGAACCGAAAGGCAGTAAAACAATAAAAATTTCTGAAGATAAAATAAGAGAAGTTTCGGAAAAAAGTGCCGTTGATGCGAGTGATGCGACAATTAATGTCGATGAAGACGAAGTGTTGCCTGAGGAGAATAAGACTTTGTTTCAGCAAATAGCTGAAGATGAAAAAAGTGTAGTCCTGCCTTGTGGATGGCTTCGATCAAATATCACTTGTAATCACGAAAATGGAATTAGTTTCGTAAAATTAATCGGAATTAAAGAAAAAAATGGGCAGATTCATTCTGGCTGTCATAAAACAGTTACTCTTGACGAAGATATGAATATTTTCATTTATATTAATGGGAGACACATGGAAAATGTTAATTTTGGTTTTTCAAGTAATAAATTTGAAAGCGTAGAAAATTTATCACATGTCCTCGAAACAGTGGATAAATGTCAAATTTGTCAAGGTAGCTTCAATATAGAAAATAATGTCATTAATGCCAGTCTTTTGCAGTCGTTTACGTTTATTGATGGTATCAATATCTTAAGGAATAAATGCTGTCCTATCATACTACAAGAAGGTTTAAAGCTGAAAGGTCGTCACAATCAATGCAATTATTGTAAAAATGTTGGACATGTGTTGAATACTAAAATTATTCGTCGTCAAAGGAACAGGAACTCGAAATATTTTCTTTCAAAAGACTTGAGTCCGAAAAAACGAGCGCAACTTGAAAAAATAAAAAAAATAGTTAAAAATACGGGTCGAGTGAAGGAAAGAGCTCAAGCTACTATTCGACTATTAAAAGCAACGGTAAAAGAATCACAAGAAAAATTAAGTAAAACTTCTGACGATTGCGTGGATAAAATGTTATCTGAAAATTCAAATATTAGCCCGAATGAGCAGTTAGCTATTAAGGAAATTTTAAAAGCATCCAAAGTTAAAAGTGCAAAAGGTCGAAGGTATTCAGATGACTGGATCATTCTCTGCCTCCTACTACACATGCGGTCACCTGTAACGTACAGAATGATTTACGATAATAAAATCTTATCTGTACCCTGCGTCAGAACAATTCGGAGGTACCTTGCTTAAATAATTAAAAATACAATATTAAAATAATTTATATAAATTATATAATTACTATTATGTTTAAAGTATAATTAAATTGGAAACATTAAAAATAATGTTTATAAATTTTGAATTGATTAAAATGTTTTATATGTAAGACGATATATTATATTCACAGGAAAAAATTTATTATACTAATATTTACAGGTATCTTTCTCAAATAGACTGCCCGTGTGGTTTTGATCCCAGATTTTTCGAAATTTTAAAGAGTCATTTCGACGGAAAAACATCGAACCAATTACATGGATTAATTCTTGTAGACGAAATGTCTACCCGGAAAAGCTTGCTTTTGGATCAAAAAACAATGACTTTTAAAGGTATTCAAGATTTTGGGGATATTCAAGATACTCCAAAGGAAGGTGAACCTGAAATGTCTGATCACGGTCTCGTCATAATGTATCAGCCTTTATATGATAATTACTCGCAACCTGTGGCAGTGTTTGCTTCGAAAGGACCAACCCGTGGAGACGTCTTAGCAAAATTATTAATTAGAGCCACAATATTTTTAGAAAAAGCAGGCGCAAAAATTCATGGGATTGTTGCTGATGGGGGAAAACCAAATAGGAAGATGTGGTCCGAGATGGGTTGCAGTGGTAAACTGGACCAAGAATTTAAAAATTGGTTTCGACATCCCACAGTAGAACAACGCAAAGTGTTTCTATTCTCGGATGCTCCTCACTTAATAAAGACGATAAGAAATCGTCTAGTAAACTGTGGACAATTGCGAGTAAGAACTTAGCAGAGGGGACAAAATTTGTGTTCTTTTATAAAATTATCGATTTAAATATTGTGTTAAAATATTAATCAATTTCTAATTTTAGGTTTATCCAGATGAAAGTCCAATCATGTGGAGTCATATTAAAATTTTACACGATACAGATAAACTTTTACCTGCCGGAGAAAGAATTTGTCCGAAACTAACAGATGCACACGTAAATATCACGGGCGATAAATATTCTAAAATGCGTGTTTCTCTTGCGGTGCAGGTACGTTTATTCAATAAATTTCATTGTCTTAATATTAAGTACAAATATAAACCTAACTTGTTCATGAAGCTGATGTTAAATAAAATTTTTTAATAATCTTAAAAATGTATAGCATGTCTAATAATTTTACTTTACCTAAAAATTTATAATTTTTTAAAATTTATTCTTGATATAATAATAAAATTGATTATATCGATTATTCCAAGTCAAAAATAAAAAACTATTTTTTACGTTTGAACGACACAATCGTCCTCTTCAGAAACTTAAAAAATAATTAATATTTTCTTTAAAAGAATATAATTAAATTAATACATAGATTAAAATTAAAAATAAATATTATTTTTAATATATTTATTTTCTTAATACAGGTTTTCAGTAAATCCGTTGCTCGTGGTTTACGTTATTATAAAACATTAGGAGACAAATTGAAGGATAGTGAATCTACTGCACAGTTTTGTGAAACTTTTGACCGAATGTTTGATGCACTAAATCGAACAAGTTTCGAAACAGCAATACGACCTAATTGTAATGACATACGTGTATGTACTTTTGCATTAACAAACTAATAGGCTATTCATTTAATTTAATTTTGCTATATTTTACTATTTACGATGTTAATAGGTATTGGAAGACTCTCTTATGTGGCTAAATTCGTGGAAGGAAAGAGTTAACCAGGGTTTGATTGCACCTGAAGAATTTCTCACCAATGACGCTGATGTAGGATTACGAATGACTCTACGATCTACTTTAGATTTAATAAAATATTTGATTGAAGAAGAAAAATTAGAAATGGTTTTTACGGGCAGAATTAATCAGGATTCTTTGGAGGTATTTTGGCGCGATACTTTCTAAGTCTGAAGTGAAAAATTAACTGATTTTATTAATTTCACAAAAACTCACGAAGAGGTAGTGATCAATAATTGAAATCGAAAAATTTTTCACTGATCAGATTAAGGAGTTTATACAGAGCGCGCAAGCAGGCGAAAAAAGTGCGGCGTATAACAATAATAATTGTGGTGATGGTGGTGGCAGTGCGGTAGTAGTACTTAATAATTTAATAGTTGCGAATTGTTTATAAATTAATTATAATGTAATTATATTTTATTATTAACATATTTTGAAAATTTATATTTATTGTAACTTTTCAGAGCGCGTGCGATTAATTATTGGCAAATATTTTTGTATTTATAATTTTTAATAAACATTTTTCATGTATTTATTTTGTACAGAGGTTTTTTGGAACAGTACGACTATCAGGAGCTTGTAATGATCACCCAGCGACTCCAACTTTCCTGCAAATTTATAAAATATTATCATTTTATAGTATTTTAAAACCACCTAAAACCGGAAATTGTTCCTTGCCAGAAAATGTTGGTCAACCTTTAATTTCAATGTCAAAATTGAAGGAAATTTACAAATCGGAGAAAAAACCATCTTTTATCGAAAATATTAAAACAAAATTAAATATTGTCATTGAGCAAAACGATAACGATTTTACTGATTTTACGAACGCTTTGGATCACGATTATGACCTTCCCTATGTAACAGAGTGCCTTATTTACTTTGTTACAGGAAGCATTTGTAAAAATTTCATAAAATTTGTGAAATGTGAAACCTGCCGAACTGGATTTTTAGAATCGTCAGAAAAAACATTTATGTCAAATCATCCCATTGCTCAACTCGTAACAAGAGAAAAAGAAGACGAAAATAGCATTAGAATCGAACATCCTAATATCAGGCTTTATAAATTCCTGCAAGTGATTGAGTTTAGTTTTGTTCAAAATTGTAACAAAAGTAATGTTTATGACGTTGTAGTTGATGAAATTCTTCAACAAACTTTTAGTTTTCCATGCGCTGATCACGCTCAAGAAGTCTTAGCATACATAATTCATTACTACTTGCAAAATCGCATGCGGCAATATGCTAAAATTCAGGTGGCAGATCACAAAAAAAAAGCACTGATTTTCGAAAAATAGCGAAGTTTTACTCAACATAAAAGTATAAAAATTGTATCTGATGTATTTTATTATTTGGATTATTTTATTATTATTATTTTATTATCTGTTATGACAATGTTTATCTAATATATAAAAAAAATAAAAATTTTAATTTATTTATAATAAAAATATATAATATTATAATTATAAATTATAACTACAGTAAATATTGAATAAATAATTTATTATTTTGAATTTTTGCACATATACTTTAATACCAGTTTGTGAAATTATTTGCTTCCTTTATAAATTTGTACTTGATGCGAGATATTTTATTTTTATTATTTTATATTTAATTATCTTTTTATTCATAAAGAAATTCTACCACAATTATAGATTAACAAAAAAGAAAAGATGAAATTATTGTTATTTTCATTCACTTATTTAAAAGTCGGCCCGAAAGCACATCCAGCGCCACCATTGCCGCGAAGCGGCGGCGATCAACATTCATCCCACTTTTTCCTGGTGCTAACCATTAGAGAGTCATTTGGGTGGATTACGTTGTCTCAATGTAAGTGATACATATCCCTTCATCGTGCTCGTGAGACCAACATTTTTACAATGATCAATCTCAATAGCATTGAGCTCATAACGAATATCATCAAATAGAAAACAGATGGCGTTAGAAACTAGAGTTGTTGCTGCAGTTGCTGTAACACCATCAGCTTTTGTCAAACGTCCAGATACGTGCAAAGTACTTTTTCTGGGTAGAATACACAAATCTTGATGTTGAATAGCAATTCTTATTTCATCGCTGTTGTTGTAAGTTGATGAGGATGCATATGGTTGATGAGCGTAAATTTCATAATGTGAAACAGACTCATCAAACTGAACACCTGTGTAAATGTTTAAGACGTTTTCCATTGCGTTTATTGCAACAGACAGAGAAAATCAATATTTGGAAAGGACGTTTGAATCTTTTTTTCCACGAGGTACGATTTTGAGTCCTAGTTGTTTCAGGAAAGTCTCGTCCTGAGGTGTTAACACTTTGCGAAGTGGTTTCAAACTGACGCTTTTTTTACATTTTGTGTAATTTATAAAACTTTTTGTTCCTCCTCTTTCTTTACTGTTGTATACAATACCCATCACAGTGTTTTAACGTGTAGCCGTATAGTTATAACTTCTCCACGAAAGTTGACTAAATCACCGTCTTGATCGATTATGCGCAGCTGTATATTGTGTATTGTCTTCACGGCTAACGGAAGATAAATGACATGTGTTGGCAATTCCACAATCTTATATCCTGGTGGAACAAGGGGGAAAAATTCGTGTATTGTGTGACTTATTCTGCCATTGATGTATGCACCTGTTGTTATATTACATTCCACTCGCAAAGCATTCACTTTGAGAATAGCGACTGGTAAATCTGAAGTATGAGTAATGTTTGCCTTCAGAATGCGTGGTGTAAATCCCAGGAGACGTCCAATTGAATCCTTGTGTTGAAAATTTATTTCACGGTTGCAATGAATTTCACTGCGTAAAGTATTGTTGTTTGGTCTAATCTGTATTTCAATACCAGCACGTGCTGCTATCTTTTGCACGTAGTTGTTAATATCCTCAATTTCATAGCTACCTGTATGTATATTCACAACTGTATTTCCAATGTAGAATTTATTGTTCTTTCCTTCTTCAATGTTGGGTATTGCATTAAATGTGAGCAACTTCACGAGACCAAGTGCATAACTTTTGAATGATGAGAGTTCTATTGGAGGAAAGTACACGGCTTCCAGTACAGAAGTGTTACCAGAAAGCGTTAGAGTAAAAGATTCATCCATGATGAGCTTGCACTCTCTACTGACTCAACTTTCTGAGTCACTAACATATATAGAGTACATTTTTAGTATTATTTTCAAGTTGTCCACATAGGAATTTCAAACACAAGTGTCCACATTTAACACTGTCATAGTCTTGATATCTTTCATGATTGTATTGTATTTTGCTTCCAGAACCAAGATATTTTACCAGATCCGTAGGTGGTCGAAGATTTCCAAAACTGTCAAAGTACAAGA